AGCACGCTGATCCGTCAGCAGCGGCCATGCGATGGGATTGTGGAGCTCACTGTGTTTCAGTCACACCTACTTACAGTACAGCCGGCATCCAGCACGCTGATCCGTCAGCAGCGGCCATGCGATGGGATTGTGGAGCTTGGGGACGTGACACTGAACATCCCCTCTGTGACAGGAAACCCGCCCGATCTGCTATGATCATCATCCTTGACGAAGAGGAAAGTAGATGTGCGTATGTTTGGGGGGCGGAGGGGGCTTAATAACCCTGCTGTTTGGAAGCTTTCAAAATGTCCTACAAGTAAAGCCTGGTTTTATTTGTGGATGAAAAACATTGTTACTGTAACCAGGGCCAGTCCATCTGGCACCCTAGGGGAGATTCTGCTGAGTGCCCCCCCCCCCGCCCCCCACAGCAGCAGAAAACAAATTTTCACATTTCATTTGTATTATAAACATTACGGTAGCACAGGGTATCTGGCTGCTAACTAGCCAGCTCGCCTCTATTTTACAGGAAAGAATTATAATGCCACAGAATGCAGGCAGATGTATTTCTTCCTATTTGTTGTCACCCACGCTTTGGGCCCCCGGCGATCGCCTGTGCTGCCTTTAGGGGGTGGTGCCGACTCTGTGACAGCACTACCCCCCACCTCTGGGGTTCATGTCCCACCCCCTCTCCATGTGTGGGGGTTTGCATGATCTCTTACCTCCACAGCCCCATCTGGACAGAGAAGCTGGAAGCCAAAATGGTTCTTAAAGACTTACATAATGGCAAGTTTCACCCGACACATCCAGCATGAAAAATGTTCTGTATGGGAGTAACTTCCCTAAATTGCCCGTTGTGAGTGAGTGTGTGTGAATTGATTAAAGATGTTTAGAATAATTTTAGCATGAATTTCTCACCAATACTTTTAGTCATGTCAAAATCCTACAGGGGAAAAAAAAAATCATCTTCAGAAATCTGTAAAACATGGAAGGTTTCAGACTTCTGAAATATTTTTATTTGTCTTTTAGCGAGCATCTGTGTCTAATAAACAGAATATGTAGGTATTTGCAGTGTGTGAGGCAGCCAACAGCCGCTCCTCTCCACACGGCCGGCGGCTGCTGAGAGACCTGATGGCTCTGCTGACATTAGAGACGAGCTCCTGAAAGACAGCACAGATGTTTAGAAACAGCAGATGGACACTAATGTAAATGCTGGAAAAACGAGAGAAGCCGCAAGAGTCAGTGTGGTCTGCGGGGTGTTTTTTTTTAGTGTAAATACGGAATAACAGGAATAACAAACAAAAGATGTTTACATAGCATGCCCATATATATATATAATATATATATATTATATATATATTATATATATATACATACATACATACATATACACACAGACACACATACAGTGCTCAGACACTAAATTCTGTAAAAATGTTGAAAATGTAATGGTTGCATAAAAAAGTCACTGACCACCGTTTAATGTATTTCCACATCTTCTACACAGACGTTTTCTTAAGTGTTTTTTCTTCAGTTCTCTTCCTAGCCTTTTGCTATTCATTGCTATCGTGGCCTTTGGCTCCCATAGAAATACAAGCACAAATGTTTGCCGTTTTATATCATTGCAAAGCTGTTACTAATTAAAAAGCCCCAAATGATGCTGCTTGTCAATGACCTTTGTAAGTCAGATCAGCCTTCAGGGCGATAATGTGGGTTTCGGTTTATTACCACATGGAATGTTTACTTAACACTACTGGATGTTTCTAACGTGATCTATACTTTTAATTACTTTCACTTTTTTTTAAAAAAAAGACAAATGAATAAAGTAATGATTTGTTATACAACCAATAAATTTGCATTATTTTTATTGAATTAAACCAGCATGAGAAGACTTTCTGTGATCACTGTATATGAAAGAATGCCAAGGAAGAGCAACACGTGCCGAGTCACTTTTCCACGTCTTTATTCAAGAGCTTTAGATTAAATCTCCAGATAACCAAGAAACGATATTAGAACCATATTGGGGCATTAGTCCTCACACACACAGTCACCAGAACGTCAAGTCAGACGGCAGTAAACACATTCCCAACACGTCAAGCGCATGCGGAGCCCCTAACGACCACGACAGGCTCTCTCAGAGAATCAGAATGAATGTCCTAGACCTAGATAATATCCCGGACCACCCTATTTGCTCCCTTAACACAGGAATGTGTCTGTTTGAAGTTAATAATTCAGTGTTTAAATAAAAGCTTTTCAACGTGTGGAATGCTGAAAATGATTCAAATGTAACCATTCATGGCCTGACCAGTTTTTTCCCCCAAAATTCAAGCTATTACACAATGTATTCAATGATTAGAGCTTGATTGGTACTTCCTGCTTTCTCTCTCTTTTGGGCTGACATGACTTAGGACAAACCCACCACCAGTTTAATGACAGACTAAACAAGAAATATAAAAAAAAAATAACCATCTAGGGGAAAATGGTGACCTAAAAAGGTCTGAGTATCAAACACATGGCTGGTTAATCTACTCATACTTCTCTGTTCCAGTTGCATGTGAGCTTAGTGCTACAGTTGTCAGTATGGTTTGCAAGAAGTGCATTAAAGCAGCCCCTGAATTATGTAAACGGGTTTATTCCTGTAGCTGTGTAGCGTCATGCATTGTCAGGACGATTAAGATGATTGCGCACGAGCCAGCAGCCGATTTCAAAATAAGCCTATCAGAACTTGACAGCCACCTTTCCGTTAGACCTTCATCCAATCAGAGACTTCGGTTTAACACTCACAGTGAAGGCCATTAATAAGACCTTTGTGTCCCCCCAAAGATAAACATTCACTCCATCATATCATCCGTAATCCAGTTCCAACCTGGAAAATGTGTTCATGTAGTGCTCAAAAGGTAGTTTTAATCACAAAAATATAAATATATATAGAATATATGCAGGCTGTAACTGCAAAAAGCAGTGTAAGGGTATGGTAGACCCACTCAGACGACGGAGTGTCTCTCAACCCAGTCTACAGGGGAGGTGGGAGGGAGCAAATACATGGACTGTCTGGGGGGGTCTCTGAGGACCGGGTCGAGAAACACTATTGTAGAGGATAGTCTGGAAAGCAGCTGCACATGTGAAACAAAAGCCACTATTACTGGCCTGTAACTTTGTGTATGTTAGCAGGAATTCGAGGAAATGGGCCCATTTGGGATAGTGTGGTTCTGCTCACCAAACACCACAGTGGTGGGGGTAAAGTAGGGGGCAGGCAACCCTGATCCTGGAGTGCCAGTATATAGCCGGTTTTCCATCCTACCTGGTCTCTGATGAGCCACACCTGATCTCAGGCAAATAGTAACTCCTCACATAGGATAGAAAACCTTCTGGATAGCGACACTCCAGGGTAAGTGTTGACTACCCCTCGGATAGAGCATCTCCACCAGTCAGGTTACAAAGGTCACAGCAAAGCATTTTACTATCCGGTGGTAATTTACCACTAGATGACATATAAATCAGTAGGCTGGTACTCAGTGAGATAAGCTTGGAATTGTGAACTTTTTATACGACGCTGTACAATGACTTCCACGTCAATAACAGGTAAGTTACACCTACAAAGAATTATGGAGGAACAGGTCAAACACCACACCGCATTACATTCTTGCTTAATGAAGATGTCTTAGTGTCATAACCAAAACCGCCATTATTTACAGTCATTTTCGCAAATAAGAACATCTGGCTATATTACCTCAAAATTATCTTAACTAGCAGCACATTTATGTTTGAGAATGTAACGCTGAAAAGATGTTTGTAATACGATGGTCAGTGGTATGGTACAGTCTTAAAGCAAAGCTCTTTTGATCACAGGGGTTCAACAGAGAGAAAAATAAATAAATAAAAGAACGACAACCAAGTGTCCAGTTACATTCCAAGACACGTCTGCAGCGGAGAGGCGGAGCTGGAGCTGTGTAATCCCTGCAGCCAAGACAGCAGGCATCTCCAAAGCACGGCACGGCCTCTGTCCAACGTCCTGCTGACCCTGCTTCACGAATCCCACAGAGAGTGCGGAAAGCACTCCACCACACGTCCGGTGAATTCGCTGACACACGCAGAATGCGTCATCTGGCCAGTAGCCCTGGGCTGGGAGCCCTGGCGTCGACACGATGCCCCCCCCCCAACCCGTGTGAAAGTGGAAGCGGCCGGCACATTGCACACGTGGGCTTGTCCGACATGAGTGGGCGTCGCGTGTGTCCGCAGGTGGGACGACCGGCGCTATGCTGCATCTGCAGTGGACCCTCGTCGTGGCAATTAACCCAGTCCACACCTCCCAGTGTTGGTGCAGTTCACACACAAAGAGAATGTTCCTCGTGGGTATCCCTTGATTTAACACCCTATGCAGCCCTCGAGCAGTATCCACACTGTAGAGCCCGTCTCAGCTCACAGCAGAGGCTGACGCAACAGCCCGACTACAAAATCCAGTGCAGGGCGTAGAGGCTCACCCTCTGGTCACTATCTCCCTGACTCAGAGGACCTGCACTGCTCCAGTGAGACACCCTGATCCTTGGCACTTACCCTGCATTGCACTGGCCCCAGAAGGAAGCAGTGTCCTGCCCGGTGGCCCCCACCATGTTTCAGTCTCTGGACTGATAGAAGAGGATGTAGCCGGACTCGGAGTTCTTCGAGATGTCTGAAGTGAGTCCGTAGAACTCCTCGATGGCCTGGGCGTCGATTTTCTGTACAAGCGAGGGACGGCAGAACATGAGTACGTGTGGGAGGGAAGGAGAACTTAAGGAGCTGGAACTTGCAGCAACTAATCTGCACCAGATACCAAAAGCCATGTGCACACCCACAACAGCCTATTCGTCATTTATTTTGAAGATTAATTTTAAAGAGTTTATAAGCTACAATTCTTTGCCCAGCATTTTTGTGGGGAACACAAGACACACATTCATCATTACCTTGTCTGACACATTCCTCACAAGAGGAGGAGGCATCTAAAGACCTGTCTGAATACTTGATAAGACAGATGGTGCCCCGCCCAGTCTGTGGGGGCACCTCAACCCATAAGCGGATGTTCTACTGTATATCTGCCTTAATCCACACAAAACCTCGTAAATCACCTAGAGACACAAGACCTGACTGCAGGAGACCAAGCTGCATGTTGTAGCCAGACCATTTATAAACACACATAAGAACATGTGACAGACTTTTCCATCACTCTGTAAAGGGGGAAGATGTTTCTAATCCAAACATTTCCTCTCCAAGTCAATAACAACCTGAATTAAAAGCCCATCTGCTTAGTATCACACTAAGCAGAATCTCTGTGACATGATGGCCAGACTTACCTCCACGATATCGTCATCAAACAGAAGCCAGAAGCCGTGGCTCTTCACGATGGTGATGTAGTGACCTCGGTTTGGCCCACTGTCAAAAAGGACACAACCTCCATGTTAGGTTCACGAGCAGGGAGGGGCGGGGCGGGGCGGGGCTTAAGTGCAATAGGCGGCAGAGGAGGCCCACCTGCCACAGTGCACCACCACGGCCACCAGGTCGTAGAGGCGGTCGGGGTTGGTGGCGTCTCCCGACGTGTTGAAGAGCCGCAGCTCCAGAGGGAAGACGACGCGGTACGACAGCTTGGTGTAGCGGTGCAGCTGGTCCATGTACTTGAACCTCTTCAGGTGCAGAGCTAGGATCATGGGCAGCTTCTTCACCCGCATCCTGGAGGTCAGAGGGTGGAACATTACAGACTACGCAACACAGACCGCCCAACCGCCCGAGCCACACAGACTGACAAACTGACCGACCATCTGCCCGCGCCACAGAGACCGCCCACCCACCCACGTCACACAGACCACTCAATTGTCCACGATACACAGACCAATCGACTGTCTGCCCGTGCCACACAGACTAACCGACTGGCCACACCACACAGACCACCCACTTGTCCACTGTAGATAGAGCGACTGACCATCTGCCTGTGCCACACAGACCGCCTCCCCATGCCACACAGACCAACCAATCGACCGCCCGACCCGCCCACAAACTAGAAAGCTCTGGAAAAAATTTAAAGACCACTCTATATTTAAAAAAAACATCTGTATTTTTAAATCCTGGTTTAATCCTGGCTCAGCTGGCAGAAGGCTACACTAAGCCGGAGGTGTTTTCCAGGTTCAAAATTTCTAAGACAGCAGGACACAAGAACAAAGTGAAGCCAGAGACACTAAGAATGATCAGAAATCAGCCAAGCAGAGGGTAGAAACAACTTTCAAATGGCAGAAGTGACTGTTAATTTATCCAACAGTTTCTCATGGAACGGAGAATGACATCAGGTGACCTGGTGAGAAGCACACTGCTAGGATAGTTCATGTCAGGCTCCTAGAAGCAGGACCGAAGTCCCATAAAGCAAAGAAGAAGCCCTTCATTAATGAGAAACAGGGAAGAACCAGAAAAATATATATTATTCAGACACACACCCAGAAATCGAGAAATCAGTGAAACAAAAAAAAAAGTGCTGTGGTTTTTTCCAGAGCTGTAATTGTGAAAAGGAACACAGGACAATAAAATATCCTCAAACACGGTAAGTTTAATAACAATGTATCACATCCTCTATGGCAAGGAAAATTCCCAATATCAGCAAAATAGCCATTAATCAACTACTAAGAATATGCAAATAGATCTGCTGTCAAATTTAGAAAGGGTCAGAAAAATAATTATGTATTTCTTATTTTAAATACCCTTAGCGTTGCCTTCAGATATTTGACCTTTAATTTCTCTGCCTTGAAAATTTAAAACTATAAGCCAGTGCAGGCACACTCACCTCTTCTGGGCTTCCTGTTTACTCCGACACTGCTCACAGTAGTACTTGTACTCACTGCACAGCGTCTCTGTGTTGCTGAACCCTCTGCCCTCAGAGAAAGATAAGTAAAATAACTGAAACGGCATTCTGGGACCCAGCCGTGAGCAGCTGTGTAAAGGCCACCAGCAGAGCCGGCAGAGGTGCTGATGCTCACCTGAGGCAGTGCGTGATGGAGGTGTTCTGCTCCACATCCACCGACAGATCGAGGAAGTCCTCATCTTTGCTGCTCACCTGCGGAAGGCGGGGCTACATAAGTCACATGACCCCGACACCCAGAGGGTGGAGGCACACCACACGCTGGTGGTAAAAGCGACAGAACCCCCTCGATTATTTATGACTTAAAAGCTACAATAAGATTTACTGAGATAGTCTTACTGGACCAGTGTGCAATTCTGAAATGACAAGTTGCATAACAAGTTCCACGGCAGATATAAGCCCAGCGCTCCAATTCCACCAAATATCTCTCAAAGTCGAAATCCGTCAATTGCAGACTGGTGAGAGTGTTTGACTTCCATCTCCTCTCCACCTCGCTCCTGCATCTCCACCTGACCTCCTCCCACCTCACCGCTTCGCAGTTCAGGCACCGGGTCTCATTAGTCAGCGTGCCCTGGAAGATCTCATGGACCCAGGTCTGTTGAGTCTTCTCTGGTTCCTCCACCTCGGTGCTGTTCCCGCTGCCGCCCCCTCCACCGTTGGACACCAGCTTGCCGTTCAGCTGCCTCTCCTGACTCTTCTCCTCCAGCAGGAGGTCGGCAATGGTGTTGAGCAAGTAGTTGAGGAACTCATGTGCATCTTGCTGCATGTAATTGTCGAAAAGTTCTGGAGAAGGATGATGGGATTAACAGGGGCAATGAGGAGTCTTTCTGACTACAGCAGCCATCGAATGATAATTGAAATATAAATGTAGACAAACCCAAGGCCAAAGAAAGCAATGCACAGTTTAATTTTAGAACTGATTAATACTATCAGGTAATGTACGATCATCCACAAAGGGCCGGTGTGTATGCAGGTAACCTTCAGCTCAGCTGTTAAAACCCAGGTGTGGGAAGACTCAGTCAATCAGTCCTCTAATTAGGAATATAATCTAACCCAATGGCCCTTTCTGGATGAGACTGGCCACCCCTGTTGTAATGGAACAGATCTTTTTCTGGACTATTTAGGTCTGTTAACAAAAGTTCCATCTGAAATAATGCAAAAAGGACAACCTGTTACCATTGTTAGAAAATCTAAATGTTTAGCACAGTGATTCTCAACCCATGGGTCGTGACCCAAATTTGGGTTGCAGCAAGTTCTGAAAGGGTCACGAGGCAGAGTTGGAAATGGAAACATTTTAAAACCAGCAAGCTCCGATCCATAATCAGATTTCCCAGCCCCAATCCTAAAATTATACTATACAGATGCTCCTCTACTTACGAACTTTCATACATACGAACGAAGAGGACTAAGTCCAAATTATGTTCACTGGGCTCCCGTTTCCTGTCCGCAACAACAATTTTTTCTGCTCCCCAATTCCGCCTAATACGACTTCTGGTCCCTACTCCCACCGCGCAGCAGCGTTCGGAACGTATTTCATTTGTAAGTAGAGGAGCGTCTGAATAAATGGGTACTGGGTCTGCAAATGCTTAGCGCAAACGTAGTGAACACTCAACCAATCTAAGAAGCCAAACCAGACACTTAATATAAAATTCATTGGCACAACCAATTGGATTTGTGCGATAGGCATTGATTGGCTTAAACTGCGGAGTACACTGCGTGCTTGATCATAGTATTAATTTAGATCTGTACTTATAAGGTTATTATATATAATTATATAATATATATTATATTATTATATGTAATATATGGTGGCAACTAAGCTGGCATGGTAAAAATTGGGTTGCAAAAAGGTGAAGAACCACTGGTTTAGCATATGCGTACCTTTCGTTTCCACAAAAAAAGGTACCGTATAGATTGAAAACTGAACCCCCCCCCCACGACACACACAGCAGACACACACACCCTCCTTCACTCACACCCTGCTGATCTCACCGTTCTCTTTCCGCAGCCTGGAGATAAACTTCTTGGGTGGGATGACGCCCACCTTCTTCTTCTGCGTGGCGATGCTGTTGAACAGGTCGGCCAGGCAGGTGAGCAGGTTCTCCTTTCGCCGCGGCTGCATCTTGTAGGCCAGCACCTTCTCCCTGAACGGCCGGCAGAAGTACAGCGCCTGTAGGACTGAGTTGCAGTAGCAGGTGTTGCCGAACTGGAGCACAAGGGCAAACAAGAAAGAGAACGGATATAAGGGGAGACCTGCAATCAGCCAAAAGCAACTCATTTGGAATAACATGAGGGAATTACAGGGGTGGAAAATTAAATAAACCAATGGCAGAAAACTCAGAGCCTGTTTACACTTGGTTTTAAAATGTGTCCTGGGCAACTGGATCACAAGTGGATAGAGCTAAATACGAGTGTAAACGACCATCACGACGCATTGTGATCTAATCAGTCAAACCACTAGCTCAGGTGGACTGGAACACATTTGATCACATCTTTTGTAGTGTGAACGCTAATGCGACAATAACACAGTAAACACAATGCAGAAGGCATTCAAATCATAATGAATGATAAAAAGAAAAAACATAACTGCATGAAAACACAAGCCAAGCATATAAGGGCAGGAAATTAAATGCAGAGACAATATGATGGATTACAGAAGGCCTGGGCACCCAGATGGTTAATAATGGAAGTCATGTAAACAATTTATTACCCAGTAATGTCTTGCATTAGGAGACAGGGATTTTCATAAGACAGTTTCACTTTAATTTGTCTGTAGGTCACTACAGCACGTCTAAAAATAAAACCTGGCTTTGGGGAGCAGCCTGTTCTCTGGTCCGGACCTGGCAAACAATCTCATTGCCATTCCAAGGGTCCCTACACAGGGCACTAATTCTCTGCCTCACGACCACGCTAAGAATAAGCCAAAAAAAGGGGAAATCTGAAGTTCAAGGTCATGGCCAAATATTCTGGCAATAGGAGGTCTGACTTTGCTCTTGGAATAAACTCTGTGGTGCATTTGGATTTTAATATACCTTAAACACACAGACATATTTTAAATGCGTGGCTGGTACACACTAACACAAAGGTGTACAAAAGTATGTGTGTGTGTGGATAAGGTCATGCATTAAGATACTCAAATCACAGAACGTACACCACGTGTAGTTAAGATAAAGGTGACTAAACCACTAAATGATTTATCCAGGTACTAAGATAATCCAGTGACATACTTTTTAAACATGGAATTGCTTTGAGGCAGCTTAACCTACATAATGTCTGAGGAACACTGAAAATATTTCATTTCAGTGCCCACTAAATAAGCACACAAAGGTAAAATGAAGAACAGTTCAGTACAAATGTGAAACACAACTGGACTGGGTAACAACAAGAATATTGTAAAGTAATTCATAAAAAGAATGAGAGTTACTTAGAAGAGTTACTGATTTGGCAGTTATTGCTTCCAAACAGCAAGCCCAGAGCAGACAGCGCTACATGGACCTGGCGTGACAGCACTGAGCAGGAGACGCAAAGCCGTCATGGGCCGTAAGCAAACACAGACGTGCATCTTCACGCTTGTTTGTAATGGTACGCAATGCCTATAAATACAAACTACTCAACGATGCTGACTTCTAAATGGCACCTCTAAATACACCAACACCGCTATGATTTAAAATAATTTTACCACTCAACTGATACTAATATTGTTTAACGTAGCATCCATTTCTTTTAGGGGTGGGACCTGAAGGGGGGATTGAGCAAATAAAAATACAGCAGACTTGCATGACACTTACATTCACCAATCCAAAGTAATGTTCATTTACAGGAAACTGTTCTGGTCCAATCTCCTTCTCCAAAGCAGAGGCATTGGCGCCCTACATGACAAAAAATAATAATAATAACAAATAATAAAAAAAACAGCTTGTGTCAGGGGTAAGAGAAACTTAAACCCTCACTGTCCCAGTAATATGAATCAAACAGAATAGCAGAAAGCTTAACCATCACCACTGCTTCTGACATGACATTTTGGACGTAAGAGGAGATCATGTTACATGCAAGTGGTATTCTGTTTAGATACATAATCCGAATCCAGCTCCAGGCCCTTTGTAATGACGCAAAGTCACACGCAGTCTGGTATGCGGGACATCGCCGGAGAGACAGCGGCAGTGTGCGGCTGTGATCCACACGGAGTCTCCTCTCCACACCAGACAATCGGCAATCCCTGCATGAACACTCGATCGATCCGGGGAAGTTGGTATTGCTCCGAAATGCCCCAAATCCTTGATGGGTTTCAATAAATGACGTGACAATGCCTGCAGGTCAGGATAAAATTCGAGCCAGGCGTATTGGCTGACTGCTGCCAGGAAGACAGGATGCTGGATTACTGTGCCTGAGACTTGATCCTTCAGCTGAAGAGTTCCGACTCAGCCAAACCGCAGAATTCAAGTATCTTTAAAAAAAAGACACGTAGCATCTTACACGGCCCAAGGCACCCCTCCATTGTGCCCATGCATATCGGGATCACACAGCATGTCCGGGCCATGCAGAGGTGTGAAACTGTTTGAGAGTTTAAACATCCTGCAAAAGGCTCCAGGAGCGCAGGAGAGCAGCAGTCCCGATGCGGCTTTGGCACACAACCCCCGCACGTTACGCTCTATCAGAGGCTGGAGGATAAAATAACGCCGGCGCTCAGGAGGGGCGACGGGCTTCATAAAAGCTGCACAAGGCCGCCTCAGCAAGAAGGGGAAAGCGGGCCGCCAGAATACCGGAGCAGAAATGCGAACCTTTGCTTTAAATCCCATAACCGGTATGTGCAGTTAGAGAACCGGCTATGCAGGCAGACGATAGCCGCTTGCTAACTGCTAACTGCTGGGGAAGGTGGCCGGGCCGACTGCAGCTCGTCCCAGCAGCTGGAGCGTAACTAACACACTAAATGCGTCTAAGTTTAAGGGTTTCCGCAATAATAATAATAACAGTAAAATAATAATAATAAAACTACAATAACGACGAGCGCAGGCGGTGGGTTCACTTCCTGAAAGCGTCACCCTCGGACCCTTGCTTTGCCCCAGCCGCGGGCCCGCAAAGCGCCAGGGGCGGCGCGGTCTCCGGTCTCCGGCCCCCGGGGCTCTGCGCGCAGAGCGGCGTGAGTAGCGCTTACCATCGTACAAATCGAGACAATCTTTCGAACTGTCATCAGTATTTCCATCCGTCCGCCGCCATATTGAACCGAACCCCCAGCTTAAAACCGTGACAGCCGCAACGGCGGGAGTTCCGGGACGAAGCTCCCAGCGAAAACGAAAGCGGGGAGTGTCGCTGGGAGACGCGTCCGGCGCAGCCGCCCTGACCACGCCCCCCCACCCCCACCTATGATCTCCTAATTACACGATTACACTAAAATTTATCAACATCATGCAATCTATATTACCTATTATTAATTACTTAATTGCATAAAATTGATATAATACTTTTCTATAATCTATATACGCTAAAATAGGCGTGAAAACACAGCAAGGCAGTAATAAATCAGGAAAAATAATTCCATAAAATAGTAGAGTAGAATTGACTGCTTTTATAGTTTACAGGGATGAGACGTTCCAGTCATTACCCCTCCAGCTATAAAGGTGGTGTAACTGTACTTCCAATCATGGGATTAAGGTTACCAAACACAGGCAGCGCCCTATAAATAATGATCCCGACGTGATTCGAACACGCAACCTTCTGATCTGGAGTCAGACGCGCTACCGTTGCGCCACGAGATCAATTTCATTACGCCGCTTGAGGTGCAGATCACAGATACAATACATACAATAATGTTTTTAGTGTTCATACAGACCTGGCATGGTAAACAACGGAATAAGAAATTGAATCATGACTGCGTGAATTAGTCTGGATGGGGGGTGGGCAATATGTTATGCTGTCGTGGGGGCCGAAATCTCTATAGCAACGCCTCTGACCGTTACTGTAATAAAAGTGTATGCCAAATTAGTGCTTCAATCGGTCAATTTTGTGCTACTTTTCATTGTTGTGGGGAGTTCTTTTTTAATCAAACTGTCATTTTTCATTCTATATTGTATGGAGACAAAATGTATATGATATAATCGAAAAATGTATATTTATTAACGAAAAATAAATACGATACGAAAAATGCCATTTCTTTTCTTTTTTTAAAAAAAACATTTTCACTTTATGAGATTGCGCACACCTAACACTAGGTGGTACCATTTCTGCAGTTTCGGATCCGGTCAGTTTTGGGATGGGTAGGTTACCTGCTTGAGCAAACTTCACAATAAAGTAAATGCCTGATTGGGAACAGCCGAGGGCGTAAACTGTAAATCAGTGAGCCACATTATTGTTGCATAATTAAATTAATGAATGTAGCCTGATGTGTAGAATCGTCCTCAAATTAGCATACCGTATTTAATAATTAGACGTTTTGTTAAAGTGTAATATAGAATACCCATATTCAAAATATTTAATTTAAATGGATAATATTATAATGTTACTCATACACATTTATTTAAACTATATTTAATTATATTATATTTATTTAAACTATTTAAACTAATAGAACTTTATGGACCATTTAAAATTCCAGTGATGTTTCAATTCAATATTTCAAGTCCTAAGTGCAATAACCCAACATCTATATACAACATCTGCTTAGAAAATCGTTGAAGTAAGCTTAGCTTATAAATAGCGTTTCATTGGGAAAAATATATCTGGAGTAGGCCTATTTAAAATAAGCAGCATACACTGGGGGGTCTGCTGTATCAGCATTTCTTATAGTTCTCGTGCAGCTTCCTTGTCAACGATCTCCACTAGTATGCAGCCCCTCCTCGCCAAGGCTGACGCCTTAACTATTCTGCATAAGCTAAGAATAATTTCAGTACTTTTTGCTTCTTTCCACAGCTTAGATGTTTTTAATCAAGACGAACGCTTTATTCTGGACAAACGGCAGAGGGCTGCTTAAAGTTATAAAAAATCATTGACAGCCCGCTGACTTTTCGGGCGCCCGGGGAAGCGGAGAAACCCCCGACTTAAACAGTACTGGCCGGGATAAATGGTTATTGCTGCCGGCTCTACAAGAACAATGACCAGCGGTTCCAGTGGCTTTTTGTTAGTTCCCATACCGGAATATCCCGCGTTGGACCCCCAACCTTATAAAAACATCAAGATCGTTGTTCTGGGCGCAAGTAATGTCGGAAAAACAGGTAAAAGATTTGTTCATGCTGCATCGAACTGGTCCAGGACTTATATCTCACATCTGTATTACAGCTGAATGCAGTTCATTTAACCCAGGACCGTATGCTAAACACTTATAGCTTTATAGTGGCATTTTCTACTTTATATCCAGCATTATTACAACTTTTACATGAAGACGCTAGTCTCAACCGAGAGCTCTGCCAAAACGCGTTACCGCTTTTAATTATCGCGAACAAATTTTAATTGCTTATTCATGCAGCGTCTAGTGAATAACATGCAATTTAAAAAAATAAAATCGAGATTCCTGACCATGTTCAATGCATTCTAAATTACAGAGATCTTTGGGGAGAGCACGGCTATTTGATTGGGTAAAATAATATTACAATAAAATGGTTCTTGTAAGTCACATCACTGTTGAACAAAACACATTTACTTAAGAAGAAGGCCCACAGTTAGTTTATTTTTTATCTATTCTCTATATTTATCTGTCTGTGTTTTTGTCTATTTATTTCTTTGATTGTTTATTTGTTTGATTGATTGTTTGACTGATTGTTTGGATTATTTTGTTCCTTCCGTTCCCAGCACTGATAGTAAGATTTCTGACAAAGAGATTCATTGGGGATTACGAAGCAAACACAGGTTAGTTGGCTTTTTCTATGACCTATAAACAAGAGCATAACTTCTGGTTGAGCACTGGGTGGGGGGGGTGAGGTCTCCACCTATTTAAGGGGGTTGTATTGATCCACACCCATAATTTGCACCCATGCCTGTAAATATCCACTTCAAAGCGTGTGAGAAACATCATCTAAGCTAGCGTAATGTGAACTCAGATATTCAGGTAAGCTTTGTTGAATTTAATGTATTTTTATTATTATTTTAGGGGCTCTATATTCAAGGACTATCAATATAGATGGAGAACAAACGTCTCTACAAGTTCAAGACACCCCTTGTGTATCTCTGCAGGTAAACTCTTTAGAGAGGCATACACATATTCCCTCTCTTGGGAGCTATTATCATACAGCTGCTACAAGTTGCTATTAAGTCTAACTATAAAATAAGCTGATTGACTGGAAAATATCTTTCTTCCATAAAAGGCACATGTCCAGTAGTGTAGACTCTTAATGGTTGATTTTGCAAGTCACTTGTTTACATACGTTGATGGTGGCTCACATGCATGTCACTGGCTAATAGTACGAACACATGATGCAAATGTGTTATGTTTTTTTTGTTTCATAACCCGTTAATAATGTTTGTTTTTATTGGGTTGCCTGTCAGGGTTGGCGCCCATCTGATCTTGCCCCTTTGTGATCCTTCCCTGTTCTGTCCCTTAGCCCTAGTGTATTCATGTTCACTGGGTTCAATGTGCAGCTCAGACTTATCATGTCACCAGTTGTGGATTTGAGGCTGGCCAGAAATGTTTGGTTTGTTCATTGTTTTTCATATTTCCATAATGTTTGTTAATGGTTCTTTGCTTCCCTGTTTTGGTTGGCCCTGCTTGTGTCTGATTTAGATTTTTTTCCCCCTCTTTTCCTACTATAGTCAGTTCTGTTATGTTCCCTTGTTTCCAGTGATTCCCTGACTTGGTGATTGTTATAGCTCCCTAGTCCTTGTGCTCATTTAGTACAGTGGTACCTCAGAACTCAAAATTAATCTGTTCAGAACTCTGGATCGAATCCTAAAAAGTTCGAGTTCTGATCGAATTTTCCCCATAAGAAATAATGGAAAACCAATTAATTGGTTCCCGATGTTATGCCGAAAAAGGCATCCCTGCCGTAGAATTATTGCCAGTGTTCTGACGAGTTGAGTTTTTAGGGGTTTTTTGGGGGGTTAGGGTTAGGGTACATACAAGTTATCTTAGGTTGACGTTCACGGTTTGACTTCTGAGATTTGGATCGAGTTCTAGGTAATTTTTTTTCGAACTGGTTGGTTCGACTTTTAAGAAATTCGAGTTCTAATGAGTTCGAGAACTGAGGTACCACTGTATTTCTGCTTCCACCTGTTTCTCATTTTTCTTGTTCCTCTCCTGATTGGTTAATTGATTGTTAGTTACACCTGTTCCTTGTTTGCCTTGGTGTTCCTGTGTATTTAAATGCTTGCCTTTGTTTTACTCTTTAGTGAGTCATTGTGAGTAGTTACTCTGTGGGTGTGTGTGCTTGTGTGTTAATGGTCTCTGCCTGGTTTTCTAGTCCTGCTCCCTGTGTAGCCTGGTTCTTTAGTATAATCTTATTTCTCCCAGTTTTTTGTTTGACCCCTAGTGGCCTGTTATTTAGTGATTTTCCCAGTGTGTGTTTGTTTGTCTGGGAGCCATATGTGGATTGTCACTCTTGTTTCCCACCTGTGTCATGCCGTGCCGTAACAGAATGACCAGCCACCTGCTAGTCAGAACAGGGAAGGATCATGATGGGGCAGGGTCACAATGGGTCAGGATCACAATCGGCCAGGGTCTCAATGGGTCAGGATCACAATCGGCCAGGGTCTCAATGGGGCAGGGTCACAATGGGCAGGGTCGGATGGGCGCCCGCCCTGACAGTGAGCCTTACTATGCAGCTTATTTTGAACAATTATTTTTTTGGAAATAAGTATATATTGTTCTTTAATTATTTCATATGAGAAAAACTATTACACCTGAATTGTAACAGTTTTAACCAGGTTTCACAAAAGTCACAAGATACTCTTGCTAATAACTACCGGAGAGAAGGTAAGGAGTGCAGGCTGATTACAGCATGTGGCTGCAGCCTCCACATGATGACCCACCTCGGGGGGGGAGAGCCCATGTGCAGCTGTGCAGCAGGTGACACCTCAGCACCACGCTCGCTCCAGTGGAATGGAACAGTGCGAATATTTTCCAGTAACTGGAGTGCCAATCCTGCCACCAACCCCCAGATTTTTTCCTGAAAGTTAGAGGATGTGTTTGTTGGGCTGGATGTAGGTTAATGTCATATTCAGGATGAAGCAGTTGCAGGCTAAGGGCCCAACGGGGGTCGGATCACTCCTGGTATTCACAGGATTTGAACAAGCAACCTTCCAAGTGGCAGTACAGACCCCTAGCCTCAGACCCACCATCCACCCATAATAAATACCAGCTCAGCCATTAAAGGGGGGAAAGTTAGGATGATTCCAAGAGCCCCTGAATGACAGGGTACCATGTTAAAACATAATTGGATTGGTCTGAGTTGGGGCCCATTATGATATGGTTTCATGAGGCCCAAAATCTATAGCAGCGCCCCTGATCACTACATCTACATCGGTATAATCAAAGCCACTCCGCGTCTCTTGCTTACATTTATTTCTATTCATTTTTTTCCCCGAAAACAGATATTGCTCACGTTAATTGTTAATGAATATTGTTTTGAAATATTTATCTACATCGCAATGCTTACCCTGTTTCCAAATTTAAAGATGAAGATAAAGATGCATTTCCTTACAGGGCATGTACCTGGACACAGTTATAGGCTATTCAGGCAAATCAGCTGACAGGAGTCTTTGGACCCTGAAGCACAGGCAGCACATGCAAGCGCCAAACACATTAAAAATGTCATAAATGTCTAAGAAAATGTTTAAAGGGCAAATCCAGGATTTTGAAGTTACATCTGTGTGCTTAGATCATAAATCAGACCCGGATCTGGTGGCCCCTAGTGGTGAAGCGAATCAGGCCAGTTCCACCAAGTGGGAGACAGAGTTGAGGTTTGGCCTTTGGCTGGCCACAGCAAGCAGCTTCACCAAATCTGCACCCCCCCACCCCACCGCATACTGGCTAGGCCCTCCCTGATGTCCCACACTTGCTCTTTTGTTGTGTTCAAAGTGAAAGAGGCCGTAAATCAGAGTGACACAAGATGGCAGCCCTCGCTTCCTGGCAGGCCTGCAGAAAGTGTGTGAAAATGAAACTAGAGACACTATAAATCAATTAACAAAACTCCCATCCCTCATAATATTGGGCCTGCCAACTTTGGTCAGCTGACTGGAGTGAGGTTTTCAATTAGGAACAAGTCTGCACACGNCACCACATCACCCCTGTTTTGCAGCAGCTTCACTGGCTACCGGTTATAGAGCGCATCAACTTCAAAATCCTTCTGTATACATTTAAGGCCATCCATCACCTCTCCCCTCCATATTTGTCTGATTTGGTTCAGGTCTCCACTCCATCACGCTGCCTCAGATCCTCTTCCTCTCTTCTTCTCTCTGTCCCTTCTCACCGTCTTGCCACCATGGGGAGCAGAGCTTTCTGCTGCTCTGCTCCCCGCCTCTGGAATTCGCTTCCTCCAGACCTTAGAAACATTACTTCTCTTTCTCTTTTTAAATCTAGGCTCAAAACTCACTTGTTTCAATTTGCTTTTCCAACATAACCTTTCTTTTATTCTATCTTTTTAATTTGGATTGTTTTATATAGATTTTGTAAATTGTTCGCTCTTATGTTTGTTTTTTTATCATTTGTTGTGTACAGTGTCCTTGAGTGTCTTGAAAGGCGCTTTTAAATAAAATGTATTATTATTATTATTATTATGCATTCTACAGCAGGGATGCCTTTTTCGCGATAACACCGGCCCCAAAAAATTACACCGAAATATGTTTTTTTTTAGCATTTAAACACATAATGAACAAGAAAAGCATATACTGCACTAAACACATCTAAGCACCTTTATCAAAACAGTAATTTTTAAAGTAAGAAAATAAATGTATCCAAACAATGTGTTAAGTTAAAAAAAAACAATGTGTCCTGCTCCAATCATCCGCTCCTTCCGTGTGCTACGCCCCCATTAAGCCCGTGTGGAATCCCCGTGTGATCAGCTGTTTCTGGTTGTTGTCATTAGTCCTCTGTATTTCGTCCGTGTTTCAGTTTGTTTCTCCAGTCTGGTCATTGTATTGTCTGTCTGCATTTTGCCTGCCTTACCTGTAATTAAACCCCGTATTCCCCGATACCCTGACGTCTGCGCCTTTGTCTCCGTTCCGTCTCCACTGGGCACGACAATATTATTATAATTAAATGTATTAATGGTTTATTATTAATATTAAAATAATTAATAAGAAATTTTTATTTTTTAATGTATTTTATTATATAATAATTACTGTTACTGTCTATCATTGACAAAATTTATTTTTACTGTCTAAATATAGGTATTCAGCTAGTGTAAACATGCACATGTCACGCGTTTACCAGGGAAGCAGAGGCGAGGAGATGTAGAATCAGGGAAAATGCGGGGTTTATTGGAAATGAACAAAAAGGAAAAGGCAACAAAGCAGACTGACATTACAATGACCGGACTGGGGAAACAAACGGAAACGCAGACTAAATACAATGGACTAATTGACAATGATCGGGAACAGCTGGTAAACACGGGGAATCCACATGGGGTTAATGAGGGGGCGTGGCACACAAAAGGAGCGGACGATCAGGGCATGACAGAACGATGCTATCACAGCGAATGCAAGGCTGAGACTGAAGCGTGACCCTTTGTTTCCGCTGAGAGACTGCGCATACAAGTTATCTTAGGTTGACGTTCACGGTTTGACTTCTGAGATTTGGATCGAGTTCTAGGTAATTTTT